AAAATTCATGCCCTCATGGAACTTTCATTCTAGTCAAGGGCAGTGTGGACAATTAAGAAAATAAATAAGTAAATATCAAGAAATTTAGATGGTGCTAAGTGCTGCAGAGAAAAATAAGCAAGAAAGGGGAATACTGAGTTTCTAGGGTGAAGGGAAAAGGATAATAGCAATTTTAAATAGGGCAGTCAGGGAAGGACTCACTGAGAAGATATTTGGCGAGATATCTGAGCAAGGTGAGAGAACAAGCAATGGGGTCATATTAGTCCATTTCTGTTGCTTATAACAAAACACCTGGAACTGGGTACTTTGGAAGAAAATGAAATTTATTGCTTACAGTTTCAGAGGGCTGGAAAGTCCAAAGTCCAGGGAACACTTATGGCGAGGGCCTTCTTCAGTGGTGGCTTTACAGCAACACAGGGGTCTCTCACATGGTAGAAAATGGCAGAGCAGAGAGACTGACCTCTCATGTGCTCTTCTTTTAAAGCCCTCAGAACCACACCCCTGACCACCATTATTAATCAATTAAGTACAGCATGGTCCTACAGTCTAATCACCTCTTCAAGGACCCACCTTTAATTACCATAATAGGATTTCCCACCCTCAACAGTTACAGTGGAGATTAAGCCTCAGTAAGGTTGGGGGGGCATCCAATCCACAGCAGGGGTGATCTAAGGAAAGAGTACTCAAGGCTGTGGGAATAGCAGGTACAAAGGCCCTGAGGCAGGCAAGGCCTTGTATGTTTAAAGAACAGCAATCAGGCAAGTGTAGCTGGAGTGGAGTAAAAGAAATGGTAGAGTAACAGGATATATAATCAGAGAGGTAATGGGCGGGGAGGTCGGACCATGTAGAGCCACTATAAGGCTTTGGCTTTTATTCTAGTTAAGATGGGGAGCCACTGAAGTGCTTTGAGCAGAGGAACATGTCTAACTTAGTTTTTATTTTTTATTTTATTATTATTATTTTTTAAATCTTTATTTTATTTTATTTTATTTTTTCCTTTTTGTCTTTTTTCATGACTGGCAACGGATCGCAACCCTCAGTGTCGCGCCCGTACCGGACCGGGACCGGCAACGGGATCGCAACCCTCGGTGTTGTGCCCGCACCTCGCTCAGCCAGTGAGCGCTGGTCTGTATGTGGGATCCGAACCCTTGGCGGGAGCGCCACCGCGCTCCCAAGCGGCGCACTGTAGCAGTGCGCCACCGGGCCGGCCCCTAACTTAGTTTTTAAAAGGACTACTCTGGCTACTGTGTGAAGAATAGTCTATAGGGAGAAAAGGCAGAAGCTAGGCTAGGATGAGGCTACTGGCAATGATCCAGGCAAAATGTGAGGGTGGCCTTGATTAGGGTGGTAACAGGGCTGATGGTAGAAAGCTATCAGATTCTAGATAAATCTTGAAGGTGAAGCCAATAGGATTTGCTAATGAGATCAAATTTGGGGCGTGAGGAAAAGAAGAATCAAATATGATTGTAAGTTACAGGCCTAAATAACTAGAAAGATGAAGTTGCCATTATCTGAGATAAGGAAGACTGAGAGAGGAGCAGATTTAGGGGGTAGAGATCGGAAGTTTAGATACAGACATAATAGGTTTGAGATGCCTATTAGACATCTAAACAGAGATGTTGAATATGTAGGTTTGGAGTTCAGGAGAAAAGTCTGGACTAGAGATACACATTAGGACTCATCTAGTTTAAAAAAAGTATTTAAAGCCATTAGATTGAATGAGGTTGCCAGAGTGGTGAAAATGAATAGAGAAGTCCAAGGACCAAGACCTGGGGTACAGCTGTGTTTAAAGGTCACAGACATGAGAATCAAGCAAAGATGATTAAGAGTAAGCAGTGAGGTAGGAAACAAACACCACAGAGAGTGGCACCCTAAAAACCAGGAGAGGAAAGTGCTTCAAAAAAGGAGGGAGTGATCAGCTGTTTCAAATGCTGCTGATATATCAAATAAGATGAAGAAGAACTATTCTGTATAGCAATGTGGAAGTCACTGGTGACCTGGATCAGAATTTTGATGGACTGAAAGCAGAAGGCAGTGGGGAAATGGAATTGGAGAGAGCGCCATAGACAGATCTAAGAATTTTGCTATAAAGGAGAGCAGAGAAATGGAAGTAGCCAGAGGCGAAAATGGGATTAGGAGACTTTTTTTTAATGAGAGAAATTACAGCATGTGTTTGCTGATCGGAATGATCCAACGGGGCTGGGGAATAATGTAGGACAAAGAGGAGAAAATTGTTGGAGTGAGTTCCTTGAGTAAGCAAGAGCAGGTGGGATACCACGCACAAGCGCAGGGGCTGGGTTTAGACAGGAATGCAGACAATTCATCTAGAGCAGGGTTCCTCGACCATGGCACTGTTGACATCTGGGGTCTGGTAATTGTTGTGGGAGCTGTTCTGTGCACTGTAGGATGTTTAGCAGCATCCCTGACCTCTACTCACTAGATGCCAATAGCACACCACTTCCAGTCATAACAAACAAAAGTGTCTCCAGATGTTGCTAAATAGCTCCTGAGATTTTTCCCCACCCCAGGGGACATTTTGGGTTGTCCCAAATGGGTGGGGCTAGAGTTACCAGTACCAACCCATGGGGCTGTGATAGGAAGCCCTGAACTCGAGGAAGAGTACAAAGGCACAGATGCCAGCAGTGGGTAGGTGTGGTGCAGACTTAGGAAAGTTCTCTTCTGATTGCTTCCAGTTTTTCACTGAAAGAGGAAGCAAGCTCATCAGCTGTAACCGAGTTTGGGGGAGGAGGTACAGGAGGCTTAGGAAGAGAAGATATGAAATTGTCCTTTAGGAGAGGTGGAGAATGAATGGCCAGGAGAAATGGACATGACCCTAGGCTGCATTAAGGGCTCACTTGAGATAAGTAGTCATGAATTTAATATGAAACAAGTCAGCCTGGATGTGTGTTTTTCTTGGGCCATATTCAGGGGTGGAGTCAGGGGTGGAGTAGGGAGAGAGCTGGATTAAATAGATTATGGTTTTGCCAACAAGTACAAGGAAGCAACGAAGACGCAAACAAGTGAATGATAAAAATGACCACAGAATTTGAGCTCAGTAAGAAGAAAGAGGGATAGAGAGATTATAAACAGGTAGGTGGCAAAAAAGCAACAAACGTTCATCACAACAGGGTAGTTTCAAGATGTTTTTAACAAAAGGAGCTGCAAAGGGGAAAAGATAAGGTGAGCTCTGCCATACTAAGGTAATGACTTAATTTTTCTTAATATTCGATACTCACTGAAGGACAGAGTACAACAGTTTCTACACGAAATCAGGTCTTTTTTTTTTTTAAAAGATGACCGGTAAGGGGATCTTAACCCTTGACTTGGTGTTGTCAGCACCATTACATGAAATCAGGTCTTTTTTTTTTTTAAAAGATGACCGGTAAGGGGATCTTAACCCTTGACTTGGTGTTGTCAGCACCATTACATGAAATCAGGTCTTTTTTTTTAAAAGATGACCAGTGAGCGAACCGGCCATCCCTGTATGGGATCCGAACCCGGGGCCTTGGTGTTATCAGCACCGCACTCTACTGAGTGAGCCACGGGCCGGCCCGGCCCCCACATGAAATCAGGTAAACTAAGCTTCCTAACTAAGCTCAGTGTTTGGGGCTGTGGTTTCTCTGGTCAAGTTACCCTCCATCAGTGAAGCCAAACACTGGGGAAGCAACACGAAATATCTGAGAAATCAGAGAATTCAAAAAGTTTGAAATGACTTCTAGTCTTTATTTAGTAATTTGTTTATGTATTTTTCTTATAGTTGTTCAGATGCTTGTGGGTATATCTGGGGCTGACAGGCCTCACAAATCTGACTGAACTGAAGTGGTAGGCAAAACTGTGGCCACCTGAGGCATTATCCCTGATTCTAATGGTGTTGTGATTTGAATGTGTCCCCCAAATTTCATGTATTAGAAACTTAATCCACAAAGCAACAGTGTTGAGAGGTAGGACCTTCAAGAGGTGATTAGATCATGAGGGCTCAGCCTTCATGAATGGATTTATGCTATTACTGCAGGAGTGGGTTACTTATGGTGGGAATGGGTTTCTGATTAAAAGGATGAGTTTGGCTTATTCCCTCCCTCCCTCTCTGTCTGTCAGTCTCTCATGCTCTCTCACCATGTGATGCCTTCTGCCATGTTATAACACAGCAAGAAGGCCCTAACCTGATGCAGACCCCCTGACCTTGGACTTCCCAGCCTCTAGAACTGTAAGAAACAAATTTCTTTTCTTTATAAATTACCCAGTCTATGGTATTCTGTTAGAGCAACACAAAAAGGACTAAGACAGTTGGTTTCAAGGTGAAAGTCATCAACAGTTGTTTCTGGCAGGCTCTTGGTTCCTACTTTTGAGGATTTTCTTTAAAAGTTACAGAAGATAAAAAATAAAAGGTATCCATTTCCTCACTAGCATGCATTCAAAACATAACATGAGACCAACACCACTGTTATGAGAACAACACATAGCCTTTATAGACTTGGGCCTCCCACAATCACTTAAGTATCAGAAGGCTCAGCCCTGCTGCTCACTAGCTGAATGGCTACAGGCAAGGCATTCGAACTCTTCAGCTAAAAAATGGAGGTTAGTAATACTACAGCTACCTCACAGGGCTGTTGCCCAGGAATGTATGTGAACGTGCTTTGTAAACCATATTGTACTTTACTAATAATAGAGATTGTGACTATACATTGAGAGTGGCAGGAGGAATGAAACTAAAGTCTCCCTCCTGGTCAGAATGGAAAAAAGAAGCAAGAGTTTTTCACTAAAAGCAGAAACCTGTGTTGTATGCATCAGAAGGGCACCAGCTCCTTTTCTACACAGAGTGTAAGTGTGGGAATTTGGCCAAAGCTTGTACTTGGTGAACCTACCCCTTATAGACAAGGACAGACAGAAAGCCGGAGGGAGAACAAAGCATTCCCACAACTGGTGGGTGCAGTCTCAGGGCCAATTCTTGGTAGCCTTGTTCTGGACTGATAGAGGTTTGGAAACAGGTGGGATATACTTACTATTGGGCTTCCCAGGAGTCATTACGGCTCATCAACTAGCAGGAAACATGGAGCTTTTATGAATTCATCCTCCAACTGGTGGCTGGCCACTCACGGTTATCTCATGACTTACAATCTAGGCGCCAAGTGCTCAACAGGCCTCTCAAAATGTATCAGCAAAAAGGCACATTAAACCACAATGAGATACCACCTCACCCCAGTTAGAATGTCTATTACCAGAAAGACAAAAGAAAACAAGTGTTGGAGAGGATGTGGAGAAAAGGGAACACTTACACACTGCTGGTGGGATTGTAAATTAGTGCAGCCATTATGGAAAATAGTACGGAGACTCCTAAAAAATTAAAAACAGAACTGCCATATGATTCAGCAATCCCATCCCACTACTGGTATTTATTCAAAGAAAATGAAATCAGTATATAGAAGAGATATCTTCACTCCCATGTTTATTGCAGCACTGTTTACAACAGCCAAGATACGGAATCAACCTAAATGTCCAACAAGAGATGAATGGATAAAGAAAATGTAGTCTACATGCAATGGAATACTATTCAGCCATAAAAAAGAATGACATCCTGTCATTTGTAACAACATGGATGAACCACGAGGACATCATATTAAGCAAAATAAGCCAGACACAGCAAGACAAATACTGCATGATCTCACTCATGTGTGGAATCTAAACAAAAAAGTTGATATCATAGAAGTAGAATAGAACAGTGGTTACCAGAGACTGGGGAAGGGAGGGGAAGGGACGGGAGGGGAGGAGGGCGGAGAGAGAGAAGGAAAGATGGGGAGATGTTGGTCAACGAGTACAAAGTTATAATTAAATAGGAGGAATAAGTTCTTGTGTTCTATTGCACAGTAGAGAAACTGTGGTGAACTGTAAGATATTATATATCACAAAATAGCTAGAAGAGAGGTTAATGTTCTCACCACAAAGAAATGATAAATGCGTGAGGTGATGGGTACGCTAACTACCCTAATTTGATCATTATACAACATATACATGTATTGAAACATCAAATTGTACCCCATAAATATGTACAATTATAATGTGTCAATTAAAGAAAAAATTTAAATGGCAGACTGGAAAGGGTCCCCATGATGAGTATCACAGGGAGCTGAGGACATAGGAAACTGGGTACTAGAAAAGCCAAACTTTAGCTGCAGGCTTGCTTTTTACTATTTCTATGGAAAAAATTACACGGCACATAACTGCCTCCATTTTCCTACCTGGATTACATTCAGATCCAGAGGTGAAAGTGTGAGTGTCTAGTCCAACCCCTGTATTTCACAAAGGAGGACACTGAGACTTGGGAGGTGAACTGACTAGCTCAAGAATACACAACTAGTGAGTAGCCCAGACAGGACTAGAATCCCCATCATGCCTCCGCATTAGGGCTCCTTCTACCCACCTGTTTCTTCTAGGGCCTTTCCCGGGAAGACAGTAGTTGGCTGAGGGAGGTTGCTTTCATACAATCAGTGTCTTTTCTCCATCAGCCTGCCAGCCTTAAAGATGCCAGAGAAAAGGACAGCCTCAGCCTGCAGGTCAAGTCCACCTGGGTGCTTCAAGATGCCCCCCAAAATGGTTTTAAGTAGGGTTTCAAGCTTGAGGATGGTGAACAATCCTAGGATGGTGATGAAGATCTATCCAGAAACCCTGGAGAAAGCAAATAACGCTGACAATGAAAAGCAAGAAGTGAGACCATACAGGAGCCCTTTGTGATGCAGGGTCCCAGCACCTGACCAGGAAGTAAGTCCTGGAAGCACAGTAGCAGGTTTGGGGGGCCGCCGCCTGTGCAGTCGCACTGGGTTTGAAGGTCGGCGGTCACCACTTGAAATTCTTAATAACTTACGAACAAGAGGCCTGGCATTGACATTTTCATTTTACATTGGGCCCCTCAAATTATGTGGCCAGTGCTGCTTCCTCCCCGCAGCCATAAAGGAGTGGCCTGTCTACACGCCCCCCCAGCCCCAGACAAATGGGACCAAATGGGACCTGCGACTTTTACCCCCTGTCCGGTTTCGGGAGGGGAAGAATGCTGAAAAAGGTCAGGGGAGTAGTAGGAGGCCCGCGCCCCGGGCAAGGGGCCGCCTAAGCCTAGCAAAATGGTACCAACGTGAAAATGCGCTCCCCTCCCCCAAGCCCAGCCCCGAGCCCGCGCTGCCTCAATCTTCGGCTCCAAGGGACTCTCCCGTCTCCCTGCTCCGGACTCAAGGTCTTCGACGCTGCCGGAAACGACGTTCTGACTTCGGACGGGGCAAGTCAGCCAGTCGGTCGCCCGGACTTAGTATGCCCGTGAGGAAAATGGGCGGCCTGTGAGGAAAATGGGCGACCCGCGGGTCCCTAACGGCTGAGGGAAGCTACCCGGGCAGGGTGCACTTCCGCCCAACGGCCGCCTCGCCGATGCCTCAGCTGAGAGAAAGTTTGGGGACAGCTGATTAGGGGAGCGGCGCTTTCAGCCAGAAGGGTGACCCCGAGCCCCGGCCTCGCCTTGGTCACGGAACCGCGAGGATGGCGGCCAGGAAAGGCGAGCAACCCAGCCGCGGGAGAGGGAGGCCCGGATCCCGCCGCGGGAGAAGAAGGCCGGGATCCCGCCGCCAACTCTGCGCCTCCGTGGCGGGGCGTGGCCACGGCGGAGGGGCGGGGCTTGGACGAAGGCGTGCGAGCGGTTGTGAGACCATGAATAAAGTTACAGCGACACCCTTCTTCGAAGGGGTTCCATAGTGTAGTGGTTATCACGTCTGCTTTACACGCAGAAGGTCCTGGGTTCGAGCCCCAGTGGAACCACGGCTGGGAAGTTGCCTTTTTTTTTTCTCCTTGAGCGTCCCGATTTGGAAGGAAAATGAACAAACGACAAAGACGAGGTAGTTTTCTTTCCCCTTTTTCTTTTTTAAACATCTCTCATTTATTTGGGGGCATGTTTTTATCGCAGAAGCGAAATAATAGATACCCTCTTCTGTCCCACGAGGTCCCGGCCGCCATCGCCCGACCTTCGAACACGTAGCCCAGGGGCAGGCGCCGGGCCCTACCCCACCTCTCCTCCGGGTGCTCCGGGGCGGCCTCGGAAAATGCACGCTCGTGGGAAGCACCGGGCGCAGCCCTTCCCCTGCAAGCCAGGACCGGCCGGCCCTCCAAAGCCTCCGGCTAAAACGGGGTTATAGAGCAGCGCTTTGCAGCCGCATCGTTACAGGTTATGATTCAAGGTTTAACTTTTCATTAAACTCTAAAATACAGAGCGGGGAAGAACAACCACAAAAAAATAGTTATTTTCTTTTTTTGGCAGCTGGCCGGTAAGGGAATCGGAACCCTTGACCTTTGTGCTACAACACATAGTTCTTTTCTTTTTAATACAGCAGTAGGGTTTGTTCAATGAAGAATCCATACACAGTACAGAGTAAATACAGGGCTTGTCGACACCCAATAAATGGTGGTTGAATGACGAAACCTTTCTTTGGTTCCTTTTCGTTACTATTTCATTACAGTTTCGTTTGGGGGGATTATTATTAGTATTTTTAATATTGGCCTTCTTCATCTTCGACAAGAGGAATGAAGGGAAAGTGTCTGGGACCCTGGGGGCTGAGGGTGTGGACCAGGGTGGGATAGTGGTCGCGAAGAAAAAAAGGGAAGGGGAAACGGTATTTTTCTCTGCATTTTTCCACGTAGTTTTTGCTCATGCAGTGTATAAATTTGCATCTTTTTCTAACTCAAGAATATAACGTGATTTTCCATTATTACAATCACTTCATCAACTTTATTCTTTTTGTATAAGCCATCTTAACCGTTTTTAAGTGTTAAGTATATTCACATTGTTGGGCAATCTCCAGAACTTTTTCATCTTGCAAAACTGAAACTCTATACCTATTAAACAACTCCCCTTTTCCTCTCATCAAGTTTATTCTTAATGGCTATGTAATAACAGCTAATTATGTCAAACACTGTCATAAATATTTTGTATATATCATTCCATTTAAGCCCCAAAATAACTTTGAAGTAGTCATTTCTGTCATCTCACATGAAAAAACTGAGGCATAGAGAAGTGAAGTAACTTGCCGTGAGGTCACAAGGTAACAAGTGTTAGTTAGCACTGGGATTCGCACCCAGTCTAACTTGGAAATCTCTACTCTTAACCCTACCAGGCTGCACGGCCTCTCCTAATTTCCTTAACCAGCCCCTAACCTTGGCCATTGAAATTGTTTCCAATTTTTTGTTATTGTAAGTAACACGGCACTGCACATCTTTCTGTGTAACTGTCCCTAACACCACCACCAAATTTAGTATTCTCCTGAGTAGATGTGAACATGATGCCAAATTGCCTGCTAAGAGGGGGATTCATGGCATTTTCTTATACTTCGGGAATATTAGCACTTATTTGGCAGGAAATTGCTCAAGGTCACCCCCTAGAAGATGGGAGAGAAAGAATTAAGAACTGAATCTTCTGATTCAAGTTTCTATTTCCCTCCATCGCTCCCCTTACATTTAAAGATAAGAGTAAAACCATCTTCTTTGCTAAACCAACCTCAGTTGACGTTAGTATCTTCTCTGAGACTTCCTTGTTGAAGCAGGTAACTATGTGGGTTATCTTGATGGGGCTCAGCCAAATACCCAAGATCTAAATGGAATAAGATGCTTAATGAGGCCTGCACTCGAGTTAATCCCCTGCTCCCGGGCAAGCTGTCCACTTCAGTGAGGTCAAGCTGCAGCCGAGGACGAGGGGAAAATGCCACGCAAGATAGAAGTCTTCTTATTACTTCTCTTTGGCTATGAAGGTATGTGCTATTCAACCATGGTCATCCATGACATACTTAATGATATGATTTAATTAATAATATAGTTGATAAATCGAAATAAAAATATTATTAATTAGCAACACATGGTAACTAACATGTGTTATTAATGAACAACAGTGGTCTTAGTGTGGATGCGGTCCTCTTTGTCTTGCCACTGGCTTAATATTATTACGTAGCCATCAAAGGATGCTTAAAATCTGACAGAAAGAAGCGTGGGTCTCAGAAATTGTATAAAATGGCTATTAATTGCAATAATTAATGGGAAAGTGTAGCGTATTCTTGAAAACTTTTATGAGTCAAAGTTAGAGTGATGGTAGAAATTAATCTTCCCAACCAGGACACTATTGAAGGTGGAGAAGGATGCTATTAATAATTCTGCTGGGACAACAGGTGTAAACCAGGACTGTCCCAGGCAAATCAGGACATAAGGTCACCCTAGTTTAAATATGGATTAACATAACACGCCAAGTACCAACTGGAATCTAGTAAAAAGCATAATCCAACTGAGAGTCGAGAAACCCCAAAGATTCAATACCCTCAATCATTTAAAAATTTCTAAATATGGCCTTGGCAGGAGTGATATGCTTAAATAAGGCAAAATCAAAGGCAAATCTCTAAAACGTCATCCAATCCAACTTATAAATTCTCTCTCAGTCTTTGAGATAATACTCTTTCATGCCTCTCTCAATTCTCAAGTACCCACCAACTCAGAATTCCTTTTCGGGTGCATTTGGACATTAGAAATGGGTTGAATGTCTTCTTTGTGGCATTGTGTATTTGTGGGTGTTACAGGAAATAAGGAGGGCGGGGAGGGGGAGGCCTCTGTGCGCTGCAAATGACCTGGAACACAGACGCGACGAAGCTCACACAAGCGGGGTCAGAACCCCTGGCTTAAATCATTCTCTTCTCTACCCTCTCACTGTGTTTTGTTGGTAGAGTACCCGCTTTCATGAATCCCCAGTCTCATGACTTTTGTTAGGCACATTTCTCTGTGTTTGGAAAGACTTGGGCAAATATAATCCCAAGGTCATTTTGCAAACCCCAAGATATATTTCTATGTAGGGAATCACTTAGATCAATTGTCAGTTGTTTTTCCTCACAATTAAGAGTCAGCAACTTGTCCCAGTAACCCTTAATACTTTAAGGTGCTTTGGGGATTTTGTTTTTCCTTTGCTCCTTGCCCTTTCCTCAGCAGGAACATCTAGGCAGAGTCTTTCAAGGCTTAGATCCAGGGGCCCGCCGGTTAGCTCTGGCTTCGGATCCCCACACCAGCCAGTGCCCAAAACAAACAAACGAAAAGGCTTAGACAGCAAAAATGGCTGAGATCCAAATCCCCCTGGTTGTCAGGCATCCACAGGGCTCATCCTCAGATTTGCCTTCTTTGTGATCGGCATTCACATTCAGTCCTTCATCTGTCCATTTGTTCAAGAACCCATCCCTGAGCATCTGCCATGGGCAAATATTGTGTCAGAACTTGAAGAGACCCCTCAGGATTCTGGCCTCTGACTAACCCCACCTCCCCCACCCCCCGCTGGGATCTCTTGGTGAGACTGTAACTAGTGATGTTTGTACAACCAAGGTCTATTTTGTGGTTTAAGGAGAATAAAGTTGATTATGTTTAAAAAAAAAAAAACAAACTTGACATTCAAGGCAGATCCTGGTTGCTTTTGCATTGTTGAGTCTAACAACTCTGCTCCATGACCCCCAAATGGGAAAAAGTCCTATAAAAGTTTACCAACGCATTTTTAAACTAGACCTGCCCATTCAGTGGATATCGGTCATAAAAGATACACTGCCAGGAAAGCACAAAGGACAGCACTCTTTCCTGTTCTATAGCTTTGTGCATAGCTGGGGAGCTCCAGAAATGTCCACGAAGAGCAGACAATATCAACCACAGAGATGGAATGAGACGCGCTCCAGTGGGAAGGCCCAGGGACTTTCAATTCTCTTATCCACCTAACGCAGGCCCTACACCCTCACATGGCTTGGAAGGAAGCCGGCCAGCCAAGAATGGCCAGTGTAGCTTGGCAACCTACTGTGTGCTCTACTCTGAGCCAGAGGGATGCTCTAGGAGACAGAGAAAAAATACAGGACACAATCTCTGCATCTCATCAGCTTATAATCCAGATGGAGACATAGGCCAACACACATGGGAAAGCTTCATTCCATTGCACAACGGGGAACCCGAAGACAAAGGTTCTCTGTCTAACTTAACTCTTCGCGGTTTCAGTTCAGTGACGGTGGCTTCTCACTACAGTGAAATAAGGTAAATGGATCGACGGCACTTATGCATTGGATGAAGAATCATTTGGGAATGCACACATCATCATAGCAAGGCACTACCTATGTCTTATAACTGAGTCAGGCTTCTATTTATTTTACATTGCACATTTTGGATTTGACATCAATAATGATTCTTAAAAACATCCATCTTATTAAAATAAATTAGTCCATTACTTGGTCATGTTTATTATATAAAAACCAGAAAAAAGGCATCCAGCCACATCTTAGAGGTGAATGTGTCCCCTAGGCAGGTATGTCAACCATCAGGGATTGCAGGTTGTTTTAAAAGCAGCTTTATTGAGAGGTAATTTACGTACCATTAAATTCACCCATTTAAAGTGTAAAATTCAATAGTTTTTAGTATATTTACAGATCTGTGAAGCACGCAATCTAATTTTAGAGCATTTTCATCACCCCAAACATAAAGCATTCACACCCCATTCTCCCCAGCCCCAAATCTATTTTCTATCTCTATAGGTTTGCCAGTTCTGGACATTTCATTTAGATGGAATTCTACAACATGTGGTCTTTTGTCTTTCACTTAGCATATGTCTTTGAGGTTCCTCTGGGTTGAAGCATGTACGGGTAACAGATTTACCCATGAATACGCCTGTCACCTAAAATAGTAACACTTTCACACCAGAAGCAATTTCCTTCTTCTTCACAAGAGGGGCATTATTGCAGCCTGCTGCGATTCTCCTGTGTCTTATTCTTGTTTCTCAAGTAGATTGGAAGCTGGTTACAGACAGTTTTTATCATCCAGAATTTTATGATTTTCTCCTCGGCTTCCTCTGTTTCCACGGGAAGAAACTCTCTGTATTTAGTGATATCCAATCAAAGAGACTAAAATAGTCTCTCTCATCTGTGTCTAATGCACACTTTTCGTCTTGGATCTGCAAAGTACATTTCAAGAAATAGGCACACCTCAAATTTTCTTGTTGTGGTAACAAAGGTTTCCCCAGTGGAGTGGCCCTCTGGATGAAAGGACAGAATGAGCCCGTATTGCATAAATCTAAGATTAGTGGATAGGTAACAAGTAGAGGAATCACAAAAATAATCCAAATAGGGAGAAAAACATGCGATGACATGTCATCAAAATCTTTTACTATTTTTCCTTTAAAGGCTGACATTTTTTCTTTTTCTCATTCCAACAATGTTATTTTCTGGTATGACAATATGTTGTTGTCAAAAATGCGTTGCTTTTGTTCTCCAGTTTTCCAGAGATTACATCATTTTGGGGGACGACAGCAGCCGCGATGCTGCTCCCTTGGTGACAGCTTTTCCTGTGAACGCTTGTTGTTCCTTCTTTCTCTGCTCATTTCCATAAGGATCTGGCACCTCAGAATCCCAGGCTGCCTACAGACAAATGCTTTCTGGGGAGGGGAGCCTGGGAAGAAAAAAAAAAAACAACTCAAGAAACCAGCCCCAAATCTGCCTGAGCACAGGAATTGGCTCTGAAACCAGGCCTTCCTCTTAGGCCTCATCTCTCCACAGGCAGACGGTGGCTGCGTCCCCCACCCTTTCTTTTTGGCCTTCTGCTTTGTTTCGGCAGAAAGTGGAAACACCTCCCTCCTCCCGGGCCCACGATGGCCCCTGAGTAATGTGAGCGTCCCCCAGCCTCAGCTGAACTCTGGGTTTGCTCAGCTGCAGCCGAATAGGCCCTGTTCGGTGACAGACATGGCCATTGAGCCAAATTGATTTGGTTACTAAAGCCACACTGTCAGTGACTGACACCCCTCACCTTTGGGCCCCCCAAAAGAGGGTCTTGGCACAGTTGATGTTTGCCCAACTGACAGGGCCCTTCAGAAACTGCTTTCACCGTCCCTTCAGGTGGGGGTGGGGCGGAGCGTCTCCTGGATTAACAGTCCCCAAGTCAACTAGATACCGATTGATCGTTTCCTTTGTATTTCTTGATGAACAGCTACAGGACTGAGGTTATGGGTTCAATAGATGTGAGCTCCAAAGAGCACACCCAGCCCTTCTGGGCTTCCCCCCAAACTCCAGAAGCATCCGTCCAGATGCCCACTCGACTTCAACCCTTGGCTGTCCCTTAGGCCTCTGCAAACTTACTGTGTCCCAAAGGGAACATCCTCCACCCTATCCTTCCAAAATCCATCCCCCCTGGAACCTTCTCCCGCTCGGTAAATGGCAGCTCTATCCTCCCAGCTGCTCACGCCTCCAACTTCTCTTTCCTTCACACCCCACATGTAATCTGTCAGCAAATCTTCTTGGCACTACCTTCCAAATACAGTCAGAACCCAGCCGCTTCCCATCACCTCCACTGCCACCACCCTGGCCAAGCCACCATCTTCTCTCCCCTGGATGTCTGCACTCGCCCTGGAACTGGACTCTGTATCCTTCCTTGACCCAGCCAGGCTTTGAAACTGTGGTCAGTCACGTCTCTCCACTCCTCAGATCCCTCCAAGGTCTCACTCAGTGTAAATGCCAAAGCCCTCATGTGGCCCACATGGCCCTGCAGGAAGTGCCCCCTCCCCCATCTCCTCATCTCCTAAGACTCTTTACTCTCTGGCTCCAGCCCACGGGTCTCTTTGCTCTTCCTAGAACATGCCAAGCACACACCCACCTCAGGGGCTTCACACCTGCTACTCCCTCCCCACAGAATGCTTTGCCCCCGGGCATCTCACCTCCTTCAGGTCCTTGCTCCAACATCACCTTCTCAGTGAGAGCTTCCCCAACCAAAAATACCAGTCCCCGTCCCCCAACTTCCCTGCTTCTTTTTCTCCATACCAGTCGCCATCAATTTACATACTGTATATTTTATTTGTTCATTTATTTATTAATTCTCACACACACACATGCACGCGCAGGCCTATAAGCTCTGTTGAGGGCAGGTATTTTTCCTGTTTTGTTTACTGCTAAATCCCCAGCACCTAAACCCGGGCCTGGAATGTACTAGAGTGCAAAAGATAAATGTGGAGAGGTAGGCAGGAGATAGATAGATAGAGCTAGGCGACTCCCTGAGGGCCACATTCTTACTATACTCATATTGCTATGAATAATCTAGTACATGTTTTTGGCCTTTGGAGAATATATGTATGCATTTCTGGTGGGTAACTACTTAGGAGTGGAATTGCTGGGTCTTAGGGCACACATATGTTCAGCCTTAGTATAAATTGTCAAACAGTTTTCCAAAGAGGTTAGACTATCTTCCACCCCCACCAGCAACATATGAAAGTTCAGATTACTCCATGGCCTCGCCACCACTTGGTTGGGTCTAGTTTTAGATAGCAAGAGACATCTACAAGGAGCTATCCAGTAAGTCATTCAGTGCAAGAGTCTGAACCCTAGTTTAGCAACATTCACAGGGTGGCTGGAGGAAGCAGAGCTCTCAAAGGAGACTGAGAAGGTTTATCCAGAGTGGTGGGAGCTAAAGGAAGATGGGAGTGACTGATAGCACCCAACATTGCAGTGGGAAGATGGAAGGTCAGTGTTGGGAAGAGCCCATTGGATTTGAAGATAAGAAGTCATCAGTAACCTCCTTTGCCAGCACAGGACTTGGCACCATGCTACTGTCTTAGTCCATGCGGGCTGCTGTAACAAAATATCATAAACTGGGTGGCTTATAAACAACAAAAATGTATTTCTCACAGTTCTGGAAGCTGGGAAGTCCACGATCAAGGCTTGATCAGATTTGGTGTCTGGTGAGGACCTGCTTTCTGGCTCATAGATGGTGACTTCTTGCTGTGTCCTCACATGGTGGGAGGGTGAGGGAGTTCTGTGGGGATTCTTTAATAAGGACACTAATCCCATTCATGGGGGGCAGAACCTAATCACCTCCCAAAGGTGACCTAATCACTTCCCATAGGCTCCACCTCCTAATACTATCACGTTGGTGATTAAGTTTCAACATATGAATCTGGGGGGACACAAACATCCAGACCACAGCAGGTACTATGGTGGCCTTCTACCAGGATGGCACTCTCTAACCTTCATTGCTACCTGAGAGGGTCAATTCTGCCCTCAGCAAGTAAATAACCAGTGGAACAAGGACCTAGGAGAGACAGCAGTGTGCTGGCTACAGGTGAGAGGTGGCCCTGAATCCTCCAGGATAAGAGATATGCCCCTTTGACTCCCAGTGCAGCCTATGCATAACCCATTGGAGTACTCACCATATGCACTTTCCAGTGTCTGTCTTCTGCCAGCAACTCAAGCCCCTTGTGGGAGGAGAGTGAGGCTTCCATTTCAGGAGGTGTGGGTCCTTGTACAGTGCCAGGCTCACAGTGGACATGCAAAAGTGGTTGTGCAATGGGTAAATAGTATTCAAATGATAGCTTTTATAATTGTGATAAAAAGATGAGACCATTTCTTTACTCTCTAAAACAATGTGAAAGCTTTTTGTGGGCATCAGATTCACTTTTTAAATAGCAAAGTAGTTAAAGGAGGAACTTTTTTTCCCATTTTCTACACTCAGGTTTTGTTTGAAATTTGTTTTTTTTTTTTTTTTTTTTTTTTTTTTTTTTTTTTTTTTT